GGGGAGTGGGAGGGGGGGGAGGGGGGTCTAACTCGCGCCTCGCGGGAGGGGAGGGTGAGTCTAGAAACGTCGGGCAGTGAGTGAGGAGAGTGCGAGTGGTGAAGGGGTGGCAGGCCTTCCCGGACTCCGGTGCACAACCCATTGGTGGTCATATACTCCGTGGCGGGTGGGTTGCCGAGCACATGCGGCCTATTTTCAAGCGCGATCACGATACTTTGCACTGCTTAATTCAGTCCAGCGGTGCTCCAGCGCCAGCTTCGTACAATTCAGTCATTCAGTCGCGGTATAAGGTTCGGCTGACAGGGGGGGGGGGGGGTCGATGCACCGTGGGTTGCCTACATACAGGGGTTTTGGAGCAAAAATTATCTACCTTTCCGGCGGCACACTAGAGACCTTTTTTTTATGTCGTCGCGCCCATGAGAAAAGGCAAGGTCGCGCCTGATACATTTTCGTACGTCCCGCGTTTCAGTTCCAAATTGGCGCCTCCCAGCGAGCCGCCTGTCCGCGCCGCTTTTGCGCAGCGCCATCTAGCGGCCCCAGCCACAACCACCCATCACAATACAGTAAGCAGTAGTTATGCACAGATGACACGTACGTCGTCTGTTCTTTGCCTTTGGCCTGCCTCAGAATAGTCCTCCTCACCACAATGCATCTTAAAAGCGATTTATATTTTTCGCTATCCTTACAAATTCGTCGGTAGAAGTGCTATTTACACATCAGTTAACAGCTGTCAGGTCCTAAATTCGATGTGTACGTGTACCATAACCTACAACAATCCAAAATTCTGATAGTATATAATTATTATTATTGTTTACATAACTCAAATTATTTTTACATATAGTTAACATATCACAATGGAAAAACTTAGTAAATCAGAACTTCTAAGGTACGTTGAGGAGCAGAAAGTGAAGCTTTCAAGATACGAAAGTCGATTGAGAGGTAATATCTACTTCAATCATTCCAAGAACACACCATAATCTCACCATTGTTTACACTTACTAATTCCTCTGCATATCATGTACCAGATGTGGTCACTGCATACAAGGGCTTGTCAAAAGAAAAGGAGGCACTTGAAGGAAGTTTGATTGCACTTACTGCATCTCAAAGCCAAATAAATCCTGTAAAATCTGCTAGTGAAAAGGTGAGACTCATTGACAAGTTGTCTGAACACTTGTTGAAAACTATCCATTGAAAACCGTTAGACCCTGATTGAACAGCTTTGCTCTACTGCTCTGTTACCCAATTATTTTCATTATTGCAGGAAACTGCGAGTGAGGCGAAAACAACAGTCACTGGGTGTGACTCTCCAAAAAATGAAGGTGATAATCTTGAGCAAAGTACAGAAAATGCAAAGGAAGCCCAGACAGTGGCCACACCAGTTGACGGAGATGAATCCAGTGTTGAACAGTTACGTTTACAACTGGCAACATTAACAAATGCCCTATCCACCTTATCTGCTGAGAAATCTAAGATGGAAGCAGGATTTCAGGCAGATAAAAAGAAATTACGTCAAGAAAAGGAAGAGGTTCGTTTAGCTATTATTTTATCTCTCTGTCAAAATTATTAGAAAAACTTCAACCAACATTTAGGGGTCATGCACTAATGTTGCTGACCCTTCTCAGCGAAAGGGAGATGGAGCAAACATTAGCATGTGTGATAGAACTCTAAAAACAAGAGAGTGTCCTGCTTCAGTGTAGGACTCTATCCTGCCTTTCCCTATCTACACTGTTAGCCTGCATCATCAATACAGTATTCTTGTATTTTTTGCAGAAAGAAAAAACAATTCAAGACCTTCAGAGTCAGATGAAAGACTTAGAGAAGCAACATCGTTTAGAATTGGAAGCTGTAAAATCAAAACTCATTGTTGAAAGGCATGAAAGAGAAAAGGAGCACACTGACCATGGAGCTATGATAATGTAAGAATTTAGAAGTTTCAAGGTTTCCTTTTTAATAAGTCACCAATAATTCTTCAATTAGTAACATTCTCTCTCCATAGGGAGCTCCAGAAATTGACTACTGAGGAGCGAACAGCTAAAGAAAATCTTGAATCCACCATCACAGAGCTGAAAGGTCGTTTGTCTGTAGCAGATCTATCTGAAAAGAGACTACGAGATGCTCACAATGAAATAGAATCTATGAGAGCGAAGTTACGTCGCAGTGAAGCAACTGCTCAAGAAACATCACCTCTCCTTCTTCAGCTGCAAGCAGAAATGTCTCAACTGAAACAACAGCACACTGTTGCTATTCAAGAGGTTCATTAATATAAATCAATACATATTTTACTTATTGGTGTCTAATGTCAAAATAATTAAAATCCTTGCCCCTCAGGAACAACGCCGTGCAAAAGATGCTGAAGACACAGCAAAGCATTTGGCAGCAGTCCATGAGGAACGTGTTGCTAATTTGGAATCCCACTTGGCTGAACTTTCAGAAACTGTGGGAAGTTATGATCGCTTACGCCAGCAGGACCAGCAAGCTATTCATAAATTGAAGGTATGCATAAACTACCTTCGTTAAATTTCTAAATCTTAAAATTTTTAATACTGTAATTTCTTCTTACATAAATATTTTTGGACTTGACCAGGATCATATAGCACAACTTAGCATGAGTAATCCCACTGTTAACAAATCTGAGAAGGATGAATCTACAATTGAATTAGATTCCACTACCAATGTCCATAATATATTACAAGAGATTTCAAAGTTGAAAGAAAAACTGATGGAATCTAATCGAGTTTCAGAGAAACCAATTGACATAGAAGGTAATTCCCAACATACAGCAATATAGTGTAATCCAAGAGGTTGTTAAAAATTATTATTTTTAATATAAGTCCTTTTTAATTTTTAGACACCATTTTTAATCTATTCATGGATTTTGGTAACCGCCAAACAGAACTACATGCTGCATGTAGAGAAGAAAGAGAGAAACTTTTGCAAGAGCTGCAACAGACTAAAAGTACTAAGTTGCATACATCTCTATATCACTCAAGGTAAATTAATAATAGCTTTGCTCCTGAAACCTATTGCTTCTTATTAAACAATTAGAAATTTTCATGTATGGTTTGGCTGTTTTTCCGTAGACCTAGGGAAGAAACTGCTGCTGAGGCTCTACATATTCAGATAAGAAGCCTCCAAGAAAGAGTTCGTATGCTCAACACCCAGCTTGAACAAGTTGAATGTGCTGAGCAAGAATGGAAAGCTCAAGCAACTCGCTTTCAACAGGTACGCCAATTGTTCTACCAGTGTCTTACTAATGAAACTTACAGTACTCATTGGGTTTATTTCATCCATGGCAGCAAATTGAAACAGAAAAGAATTCTTGGCGTGAGAAAGTCCAAAATCTTGAAATTGAGTTACGTTCTCGAGCTATTCAAACAGAACAACAGTTGGCTCTACAACGAGAGCGATCTCTGGCGTTACTTGAAGATAAGGAACAAGAAATACGCACTCTAAAAAGCAGTTTCCAGATGTTTCTTCCATTAGGCAAGAACAATGAGTTAAGCAGCAGTGCATCCTCAACTTCTGAAGAAATTCATGAACAACAGTCTCATACTGCAGAGGTCAGTACAAAATAAAATTACTATTCTTCCTAATGTAAGAATGGTTTCAAATATATAAATCGTGCAATTTTCTGACTCATAGGCAATCGGTGACTTGCCCAAAATCCCCTCAGACCAGACAATGTCAAGCGCTTTGCCAGGGATCCTCCTTGGTACACTACAATCTGAAACTGGTATGAATAGTGTGGGTCCCGGAGATAGCCCTCATATCCTTCATTATGCTCACGAACTTGCCAGAAGAGAAGTGGACATAAGTAATCTGAGAAAGACTCGTAACAAACTTGACAACACTTTAAGAGATATGACTAAGATGCTTGCTGTTGAGCGCGAAAGACACAGTGAAGAAACTTTACGCCTTAGGGAATCTGTTGCAAGGTAGTAGTTGTGGTCCATTCAAAATAATGATGCTTAGATTGAATAATACCAAGATAATATCTATTCTATTGCAGATTGGAGCGCTGTCAGTCTCGTGAAGGTGCCAATCTCGAGTATTTGAAGAATGTTGTGTTGAGCTTCCTTGAAACAAGCAGTCCCAGCTCCAAGCAGCATATGCTTAATGCTATTGGGGCTGTTTTGAAATTTAGTGAAGATGAGTTGGATCGTGTGAGGCGTCATAGCAGTAATAGCTGGTGGTACAATGCAACTTGAATTCTGTTGTGGAACTTTAACTACAATTTTGTACTCATCCGGCATGTGAATTACTACTTTTGACTGACTATAATTTGCTGTGCTATATTAATGCAAATTTAGAATATTGAGGGTCATCAAGGCTCACCTTTGCTGTGATATTGTACGTAATGTTTTAGTAACTAGTAATCGAGATAATTGAATTGAAAAATTGAAATTGAAAATTACTTACTGGTGATTTTATTGGTATTTAATCATGATTCAGGAGTGCCTTTTTTTTGTATTCCATTAATAAAGGGTCCAATACATCATTAATTTTTACTTATATTAGTCATCAAACCTAACATTTACTATGACTGTTAGTCTATAGTTTAGGAAATCCAGCAACTGGAAACTTTTGAAGATGATCTTTCAAAATATTTGGAAATAGAGCAAAAAATTTGAAACGTTCACCCATGGACTCCATGAGCATTTTGTAGCCACTTTCCAATTGAGATTTCTGTTCATTGGGGCACTGCTCCAATAAACTCTATAATACAAAACCACAACACACTATTAAATGAAAGGGTTTACAACAAGTAAAAACTGACCATAAATTTAAAACAAGAAGAATTTTTGTACCTTTAACCGAAGATCAATACCAACTTCCTTTAGAAAGTGAGACTGTGATACTGGTCCAAAAGCTAAAGCTTTATCACTCACAGCATTACGCAAATAAGTGAAGTCTACATCAGCCGTCAAGTCTGCGGTGCCAGGAGAAACTAAGGGATCAACCTGTTGATGTTGTTTAAATGCCTGTCGAGAGAAAAATTACCATTCCTAGAAGTTAAATATTAAAGTAAAGCCCAGAAAAGACATAAAATCACAAAAGTTCTTACCCGAAATGTATCACAACTTTCATCTTCACTTCCATAGTCAATTATTAAGGCTGCGCCCCCTTGAGCTTCAAGTCTGGCTGCAATCTGTTGAGCTATTAGACCAGAATCGGGGCACACTTCCACTTCTTCTCTCTCATCCCAGGGCTAAAAGTTCAAGTACATTCATCAACTCCTGCAGAATTTAGACACAATGCACCATGTAATACACAATTAATTAATACCTTCATGAAAATTTTTGATGCAGGAGTTCCAAATCGAGATATAACAAATTTAAAACAGTCTGGTCCTCTATCAGTATCAGTTGTGACAAGTATTTCCCTCCAACCCTCAGGTGTTTTCTGGAAGAACCAACTGAAATATTTAATATCTCAAAACTATCAGAATCAAGAGCTACCATCATCAGTATTACTTGCCTTGAATTTATGAACTGGTAAAGCATCAAAAAACTCATGAGCCAGAAAACAAGAAAAATTATTCGGCACTTCAGAAAGTGAATAATACCAATAAACAGGAGTTCCATCATCCATAACACCTTCTTGGTAGTGTTTTGATTCTGTTTTCTTGACTAAATTTGATGGACGTTCCACAGTAATTGTGCTAAAGGATGACTTCTTCCTAAAACACATGAAAGTACAATGATGATGTTTTGGAATGCATATTACAGATACTAAGATTGTTCTTTCTTTAGGCACATTTAGATATTTAGTGTTGTACAGAGAAAAATTACAAACCCAGTAACTTTGCCTTCAGTGTCGTCATTTTTCACTCCATACTTTCGTCCTTTGGCTATATTTCCAGACACTTCTCTTTCAACAAAGAAACTTGCTTGCTGTACTGTTCCTTTCTGGCAGAGTTTCTCTGCTTGTATACGACTGAATTCTGGACTTATTTCAACCAGGTGCACACTCAATCCTTCTTTGCCCCTCAACAACTTAAAGACCTGTGATATAGATACTTCTCTTATAACAGATTCAGATAATAGCTACAGGATTATTATAACAACCTTCCACTAATTATAACAAACTTACATTAAGCACATCTGCTATTAATGTGCCACGACCAGGACCAAGTTCAACCAGTTGAAGAGGTTGAGAAGGTGCATGAAACTTTTTTAGTTCATTTACATACCAGACACCAACCATCTTAGAAACAAAGGAATATAAGTAGAAAAAGTCATCACTATAGGACAGAGTATTTAGGAATGTGAATTAAAAGAGCCTACATCACCAAAGAGCTGGGATATTTCTGGAGAGGTAGTGAAATCACCTTGCCGTCCAAGTACATCCTTGTACATATAATACCCTCCTGATGGGCTCGTCAGCACAGCTCTCATGTAGTCCGCAACACTAAGAGGACCTCGAACTTCAATACGAGCACGTATCTGTTCGGCTATGGTCATGTGATTCTTCTGAGGTTTAATAGTGTATTTAGATGATGACGCACTTAACAGGCGTGCACCTAGAATTACAGTTTAATTTAGTAGGTATTGAATAGATTTAATTTTTTAAAAATCTCATGCAGTTAGTAATGAACTAGTGATGGTGACTCACCTTTTTTAAAAAACATTAAAAATGATTCTCGCTTGGAATTGAAGATTCTAGTAGAACGTATTGACATGGCCATTTTAAATCAGAAGAAAATATAGCAAATATTGTGCTTTTGAATCGAATACCTAAATTAATTGAATAGAGAAATAAGAGATGTATGACATGAAGCATCTGATTACATGTCCGAGCTACATTTTTTTCCACTTAAATTTTGTGTTATCAGCATTGGTATAATAACTTCGGAAAAAGAAAAGATTTGATGGTTAGTCAAAATATAAACAACATATATTCGAAGCAGAAAGCAAATCAGCTGTTTCTTCTGTTTTCTTATTGGTCACAAAAAAAGGCGGTGTGCCGGCTAGGGCTTATTTGGAGCAATTTGATTGGTCCACGAGGGATACGCTCCATACTCAATTGTGGTCGCCTTTCTTTCTTACTACTCTGTTTTTTGGATGAAATCATCATCAGAATTGTCTTCTGTCACCTTTTATCAGTTTGATTGATTGTCCTTACGTTAAACGGTCTATATATATACCCGCTGAGGGTGTCGTAGGGCCCCAAAGCACAACCCAGCGGTCCAAAACTGTGAAAAGGGGGAGTGTTCCGTTCTCGCATGGTTCTCAAAAAGTTGTGTCCAGGTGTCCAGCAGCCGACGCTGACGAGTGGGGCGTCAACTTGAGGTTCTGACGTGCCCATTAGCACGTACATTGTTTACAGTTAGGTTTTGGTTATGTCAACAAATAATCCGAGAGTGAGCTGTCCCCATTGTTTTGGCCACTTGGAAACTTTTACAAGGCTCTTGAAAAAAATTAATTGGGGGGGATAATAATGAAGGTATACTACGGTGCAGCTCTCTGCCTCTTCCTTCCCTTAATTTGTGTTGCTTATTTCACCACTGATACCAGTCAAAGTTGTTTCTGCAAGGTAAAAATGTCTCTTTAACATATGTCTGTTATAATAACTTTATCAAAGCTTTTGAAATTAATTGTTTGTATTTTAAATTATTATTTGAACCAGATTTATTGTTTCATAGAGTAACAATTCTAAAAGTAATGTTGATCAAATTCATTTTCAGTTAAAAGGAAGAATTGACGATTGCAGTTGCAATGTAGACACAGTCGACCACTTTAATAATATGAAAATATTTCCTCGACTTCAGAGTTTATTATCAAATGATTATTTCCGTTTCTACAAGGTAGCTGTAATGAAAGAGTGTATTTTATTACTAAGCTTCTTCACATGAAGTTCAAATATAATTTTTTTTTCATTTTGACATAGGTTCATTTAAAAAGGGATTGTCCGTTTTGGACGGATGACAGCAGGTGTGCAATGCGTTATTGCAATGTTCAAGCTTGCCAGGAAGTGAGTATTGAGTTCTATAAATACTCGTAATGCAATATGTACTTTTAGTTAAAAAATTCTTTTAAATTTTCTCTGTACTAGGAAGACATTCCACCCGGACTAAAGCAGTATAATCACAATTCTATGAACTCAATCTTCGGCAATCAAGATATGTCACTGCGGGTAAAAAGCAAAGACTTTTATTTAAGCTATCTCCACAATCCTGTTGCTCAACTAACCTTAACTAACCATTCTGCTTTTCAATTTAGTTCTATGATGGAAATGAGGACTGTGAAGATCCCGAAGCAGACCATGACGATGAACTAGGATTTATCAATACCACTATAAGGTATGTTCATGTGGTTTTCTAAATTTTAAATCTTCTTCCTCTCACTATTTGCTGATTAGCTTAGCTCTTTTTTATTTAATTTTTTCACAGTGCTGCAGCATACGAAGAGTTTGAAAAATGGCAAGCCCATGATGCTCTAGATAATTTCTGTGAATTGGGTGATGATAAAGATGCCCAGTACGTTGATCTATTGCTAAATCCTGAGCGCTATACAGGTTATAAGGGTAAATCAGCTCATAGAATTTGGAACAGTATATACAAGGAAAATTGTTTTAGGTAAATAAATTATAAAATATATCATGCTAATTGACCATTTCACTTGGCAGCCGCACTGGCGGTCTTCCGGTTTGTACAACATCTGTTTGTGGCTCTTGGAGGCAGCCTCATATGCATTTTCTGGTTGGTGACGGGCTCTCTGACAACCAAGCAACGATCAGGAGTCACATTTAATTAAATATCCCAGTCCTTTACAAGATCGTAAAGGACGTTGCACCAACTGGAAGACCGTCAGGGTGGCTGCTGGGTGAAATGGTCAATTATCTGCTGTATGTCATAATTCTTTTTACTATTTTTCAATTACTTTTTTCAACAGACCAGAAAATCACTATGATTTATTTATTCAGTCGTCTCAGCTTGACAGTGAGTAGCATGTGCACAGTTATTCACATATATTATTTTTGTCAATATAACTGTGAACGAATATTACAGGAATGTGTCTGGAGAAAAGGGTGTTCTACCGAGTGATCTCAGGAATGCACACCAGCATTAATATACATCTCTGCTCTAAATATCTTCTTTCTGGTAAAGTACTTATTTAGTCAAATCTTCCACTACATTATTTAACATCAAATTAATAATTTCATTGACAACTTATTTTTTAAACTAGATAAAGAATCACTGATAGCACCTAATGGGAAATGGGGACCTAATTTAGAGGAATTCAAACGTCGTTTTAGCCCAATGACAACTGACAATGAAGGTCCGCACTGGCTGCGCAATTTGTATTTCCTGTATTTATTAGAACTCAGAGCCCTTGCAAAAGCTGCCCCTTACCTTGCAAACGAGGAGTTCTATACTGGTTCAGAAGAAAATGACAGTGATGTGAGAGATGCTGTTAAAGATCTTCTATCTGTTATCAAGTACGTTCTTTCATTTTTTATCCTGATGTAGTGAGTTTTTATGAATGTCTTTTCTATCCTGTTTTTACATCAAATATGTACTTTCAGATCATTTCCCAGTCATTTTGATGAAAGTTCTATGTTTACGGGTGGAGCTCAAGCTCGAGAACTGAAGGATGAGTTTCGACAGCATTTTAGGAACATTTCAGTCATTATGGATTGTGTTGGTTGTGATAAATGTAAACTATGGGGAAAATTACAGGCAAGTTCCTACTTTAGTTTGTAAGATATGTTGCATACTAATAAATGATTGCTTTTTTTAAATTTTATTTTTTTCAGTTTATTATTATCAGTAATAAGTTTCTGTCTATCCATTTTTACAGGTTCAAGGCATAGGAACTGCACTGAAGATTCTATTTTCAGGAAAATTTGACAGTCTCAGTCCTCCTGGACTGCAGCCTGGACAGACAGCAAAAAGTCAGTTTCAACTTCAGAGAGGTGAAATTGTCACACTCTTTAATGCATTTGGAAGGTATTTGAAACTCATGGTGGTTGTTACTAACTTCCTTAATTTATCTGTAGCTATTTTTAAAGTCGTCTTGTTTCTCTTTTAGATTATCCAACAGCATAAATGAATTAGAAAAGTTCCGAAACTTGATACGGGAGTAGCACCTCCTATCAGAGCTGTGACTGCGGGCCGTGTGCTATTACATCACATTGTGATATTTTTGTTTTAAGAAGTGTTTGGGCCACTCTTTTGAGTAATCAAAATAATTATTGTGCTGTGACCAGGAAGGCAGTAAAACATTCCTGAATGTAAAGACAAGTCCTCTCTGTTTACTAGAAGATGATAGATTTTGGAAGTGCCTGATACAGAGCATGCATCATTAAGTCCTTGGCAATTTGATTTTGGATAATATGTCAAAAAATTTCAATTTGTGTTCCTATATATTAAAGTTATAGCTGCACTTTTTCATCTCATTCTACAAGAAAAATGTCTAGTGCATCGCATCTGAGGAAAGTCAATTCAAAATCAATTCAAAATATGTCATATCCTAAAGGCTCATTTTCTATCTAAATGTTAAAGGGGGTATTTTCATTTTAGGAAGCAATATTTATTTTGAAAAACAAAATATTTTGATCTAATGACTTTAAAATGACAATTTAAGACACTCTGGAAGAAAAGGGCATTCAACCAGAGTTATTTTTACAATGACTGATTTTATAATTTCTTGATATTTCGTCTTCAAACAACTCTCATATAGTCTATGTACTTAAGCCTCCTCAAAAATTTACAACAGTCATTCTAGATTGTTTTGGGTAGTATATTTGCTTTACAGCTTCTGTTGTGTACATCAGTGAGATCTTGAGGTTTTCTGAAGTACTCATAATTAAACTGTTTTTAAAGCACCATTCCTGATAATAGTGTTGTGTGCATTGCACTATAGTGTGCAAGAATGAAAATATTATTTTGTGGTGCAGCTGTTAAGAATTTTGGATTTTGGATCACCACATCAATTAGTCTATTTATCAAACTGCTGCTTTAATGTAATCTAGTACTGTAAGTGTTTTAATTGACAGACTAACTTGTAAGTTTCATCCATTTTAGGACAGTTCAAATTTGAATTTTGTTATGGCACACTCGTGTTTGAAAGTAGAGGTCTTTTTGTTTTTGACTACTTAACATTTATCTTTGACTGTAATGACCGATTTAGTCTTGGTGAAGCCGGTAAAGCTGATGCCACACAGTCATTTGTTTTGAGTAAACTGATTGGTTGAACGAGAACTGAAGCCAGCTTCAAGCTGGTTTTAATCAATCAGATACCTAAAACAAATGACTGTGTGGCTTCAGCTACACAGGCTTCATACCTTCATCTTTCATGAATGAATCATGAAGTATATGCAGCTATATGTTTACTGACAGCTCAAACTCTAGAATCAATCATTGATAGATCATGACTTTATAACATCTCAATGCTGTTTTCAGATAAGGTCAATTTGTTTCTTCCACTCTATAAATAAGAGGAAGTTTTTACAGATTAGATTTCAATATCCTCGCTAATATACTTGGATGTAACATAATTGTCTCTTTGATTCTTTGTGGTAACTGTGTATTTATAATTGTGATGGTAGTATAATGGAAACTTTCCAGTTTTAGGTCATTGTAAACAACTAACCCCTGAAGAAAGCCTTACTTAGTGTTTGGAAACAGCTAGGTGTATTTCTTGGTTGTTTGTATGACTGTGATAATCTTGTACCTTAACAGATAAATATTATTAGTAGCTCCAATGTGGAAGCAATTTTCTATTTTGTTTTAGCTTTCAAAATTTTATATACAACCTTCCATGTGTTGTTAAGTTTAATTATTATTTTTTTTGTTTCAATAGCTCATTGTACAAAATCAAAATTTAAGTATCTTATCTTCCATCTTTGAACCAGTGCTTCTCACCTTTTTTATGCAGTGTATATCAGTCTACTTGCCTTCTGTAGTTATTTGTTCTTATTTAATAGATCTATACTGTATTCCTCAACCACCTAAAAAGTTGACTCAAGCAACATGCATGTTTGCAGGTTCTAGCTTTTTGGAGCCTAATACAAAACTTGCATAGTTAAATTCAAAACTAACTGCTAGTGAAAAAAACTGCTGTTTTATTTTGTTAATCACTCCCTATATATTTTGCACTCAAACATTGTGTATGTATGGTTTATCAAGCACCTGGTTCTGTTCTTGGACATGTCAACATTTTCATCTGATGTAAAATGTTCCTGCACATGTAAAATGGACTGGGATATCTTTGTTATTAAAGAAGTGTGATCATTTAGAGCAATTTGTTTATCTACCTTGATTTTAAATTTATTTCATACATTAATATTCGCCTGTCAAACTTGTAGCATAACATACGACCAATTCCTCACACTTGTTCACATTCAAGGTTCAGATACCACACTCAATACAAAAAGACAAATGTGTCACAGGTTTTGGAGGAAATATATCAAAACATGACTAGAGAAGCTTCATCAACCAACAGAACATAATACCTCGATAGGGGGAGTCATTGTTCTCCCCACTTCACCCCCTTCTGATTCAACTAGGCCACTAAAAATAAATAGAATACTGAAGCACTCAAGGTGCACCCACAATGTTCCTAACTTAACTCAACGCAAGGAAGCGTTGGGCGCCAAACGCTCTCTCGCGCCCCTCGCCCCCTCGCCCTACGAGAGCCCTTGCACTTCGCGCTCAGGGCGGGCCGCCGTCTTCACACAGCTGCTTGGCGGGCTGGCCTACCCACTGCGTTGCAGGCGCTTTCACTGGCAGGGGGTGTTCAGTGTGGGAACACCGTCACACTAACCAGAACAAGTAAGGTCCTTGCAAGATAAAGCACAAAGTAACTGGTTGTGTGCAGTTTTCAGTCTTTTACGTTTGCGTCGCTAACGCCTGCTGCTCAGATGCAAATCTTGCCGGCCAGATAGTGCGCGTGGAGAGCGGTGCAGCCCATGGCGGCTATGTTGGCTAGGGCTATGCCGGCGTGTACCTTGCGAAAGGCCCGATGGATCTTCACGTAGTGCGGGCACTGCGTGAGGGGCCCCAGGTCATACCGACCCACCTCCTGGCCTACGCCTACAAGAGCAGAACAACAGAAATCAGTGATACAGAGAGTCCGTCTGCGCGAGAGGCAAAGCTCGGCAAGGCAGACAGACAGCAGCAGCGCGAGAACTACTCACCAGCTACCGTCTTCTCCATGTCGGTCTTGGCGGTGATGAGACGCAGCAATGGAGGGGTGAGATACAACCGGACGAGCAGCTCGAGCAGGAAGCATAGAACCATGCTGCCCACCTGCACGATCACCTCGGCGTCCCACTGGTGCTGGCTGCCGTGCTGCATGCGCACGAACGTGCCCAGGGTGAGCAGGCTGAGCGCCGCGTTGATGCCGAAGTACAGCGGGAACAGAACTTTCTGCACCTCGGCGAAGTGGTGGCGCGGCAAGCTGAAGAACAGCGAAAGGCCTGCAAGTCCGTAGACACATATTTGCATTCAGAACGATTTAGAACATTTGCAACGCCATATCTTTAGCAGATGGCACACTTCACACTGAAAAGATCTTAATACAGTAACTATAGTTTTATGCGGGAGCTAGCTTGAACCCAGCGCAAGGCAGGCTTCCCTACTCAGGGTCGAAGCGGAGTCAAGCCCACTCGTGCCGACTGCTTCTCATTTGTCCTGGCTGGGGCTGGGCTTCCTCGTGCTTCGCATTTTCCTCGCCATGTCTAAGAGTATACACGCGCTAGCTAACACATTTCAAGCGGCCGTGTATCTAGCTTCCTTTCTGAGTGTTCAATTATTACAGGTGCCCCCCCCTCCCCAGTCGGACCCGTTCTGTTCTGGTGACAATGTAAGCAGATTCAGGCGTGCGGGTTGCATACTCGTACGGGGCCGTATCCTGCTTGGGTGAGCGACGATAGGCAAGTCTGCCCGCACTCCTTCATCCGGTACAGTATAACTTGAAGAGAGAACGGCACCGATGGGCTACTGCCAAAAATATTTACTTTGTAATACTAACCGGAAACAAACGTCATCCAGAACTGCGACCCAAAATGTGCCGCGAACGAAACGACGTAGGTAAGGTAGGTCCAAGACGAAGGTTCGTCCACACGGTGGGGGTTGTCCTGCGACTGCGAGTTGCCGTCCTGGGCGCCATGGCGGGGGAAGAGCAGGGCGGCGATCAGGGCCACGCTCAGGAAGGTGACGATGTGAGCTGGCTGCGTGGTTTGGGACAGCACACTGCAACGAAAAAGTGCAAAAATTTAGGTGGAAATTTGGCGGAATGTGAAACCCGAGATGAAACTCCTCCAACCGATAGCTTGCCCCGCCGTGCCGGCGCGCGCGGGCCGCAGCCTCTCGCCATTGCACATTAAACAGCCTGATAACCGGACCGCGGGGTCATCACATAACAACCGACCGAAAGCCATTCCTCTTTCCAATCCCGCCTTTGCACGACCAAAAGGAAATGATCCTTCCCGCGGTTTAGTTTTCCCTGGCCGGCGGCGTGATGTCGCGTGGGATGCAGGGTAGGTCTCAGTCGCACTCTTCTCTGATAACACACTATGTACCGGATGCAGGCGTGCGGACGGGTTGCATACGCGCACGGGGCCGTATAGCGCTGCGGTGAGAGTCGTTAAAGGCAAGACCACCCGCACGCCTGCATGCGGAACAGTATTGAACCAGAAAAAAATGCGGCTTTTAACCATACATCCCACCCTCTGTCTACAGCAGGCGCATGTTGCCTACTTTAGGTACCTCATCGGGGGAGCGCTTCCCTTCAAAATCACTCCTGCCTTTCCCCTCCAATCAACGGCGTTCTCCAGCCTGCTCCAGCCTGCTAGTCAACGACGTCAACCTCACGCCATGCCTGTGTCCTGAGGGATAAGAGCCCCCCCACCCCCCCTCTTATCCCTCAGGACACAGGCATGGCGTGAGGTTGACGTCGTTGACTAGCAGGCTGGCCCCTACCGAGACGGTGACGGTCAAGGTCTGCGTCGATGAGCGCGGTGCCGTGCCAAACCTCGCACCCGCGAAGCGAGTACCACACGGGGGGCTCAACGGGACCGCGTTTCACTGGGCTAAACTCGACGGGGAGTGCCACCTATGGACGTGAGTCGCGTTACGATTCTCACGACGAAATGTGGCGTGCGCTGGAGTGGGAGAGAACGCGCGCCTCGAGCCGCAAACGCGCGGGTGGGTTTAAGTGTCGCGAATTGCTGATTAACCCCCCGCCCCCTCTTTTAGGCAGTCCCTGTCTCTAGCGGAGGGCAAAGTGCCCCCTGCCCCTGCCCCTTCGCTCTTCTCCCTTCAGCACACGAACACAGGGCGCTCCGTTTTTCTTTGACGAGGGGTCATTTGCTACCCTGTCCCGACAAACAAGTAAAAAAAAAACAACAAAAAAAAACACGCCCGCACTTCTTTCCCAACGACAGCCATCAAGTACCAGATGTATCAGGGCGAACGTCCAGTACCGGTACATAGGTGAATGGGGTTGATAGAAGGGCGGGCTCGGTACATCGGAGTGAGGTGAAGATAGTTTGGCCCACATGAGACTCACCATAAGTTTCGCCACACACGACTCCGATTATAAAATAGAGTTTCTGAAAAGGGAAGAGATTCAGATCGCAGTTATTGCATCAGAGCAAACTGTCTGTCTGACTTTTGATATCGTGCGGATAAACTAGAACGGCGCAGACGTAATTTGGCCTTCCCCTAGTTCTTCAAACACTTCTGGCCGGCTCTCTAATCTGTCCCCCCCCCCTTTCCAAATATTTCTCGCCGCATCGGCTTGCACTACTTTTCATCATACCATTGCCCACATTACGCATATTGTAATTATTTGCGCCCCCAACACACCACGTACGCAGTTCCTGTGATGGATGTGTATCACTTGTCGCGAAAACAGGCAAGGGGGCCCTTCGCTCCCCCCCCCCCCCCCCCCCCCCTCCAAGGCCCCCTCCCATGCAACCACCATTTGCGAAAGCACAGTCGTGGCCGC